ACATCGTGTTGGGAACCCGCCGGATAGGGGGGTCTTATTGTGGATCATTGTCGTGGGGGGCGTATTTGTCATTTGGATTGGCGGTTTTGACTTTTGGTGATTTTCTGTTACTATATGCCCCCTCCCTACGCTCCGGCTCGACGCTCGGATTCGATGAGGAAAGGACAGAGGAGGGCTGGCGGAGGGGAGGGATCGTACCAATCGTACGAAAAGGGGGGGAGGGCGTATTAGAGTCGACAAACACAATCCGCCTACCAAATGAGTGGGCCCTGTGTAAAAGCCCCTCCCCACTGTTGCCGGACTGCGCTGCAATGAAACTATGTAGTTCCTCAGAGGTTATACACAGTCCACAAATCGTTACAAGGACAATTTTCTGCAAAAGTAGCTCGGGGTACCAGGCGACAGCGCGACTATGCTACCCCATATCTGCTATCTGCTTGTCTGTGTCATCTCTGTGAAGAAGGAAAGTGACGCACACTTCCGTTCTACTCCTTTGAAACAAGGCACATCATCGTGTTATTTGACGTTTCTGCCAAAGACGATCCCCTACCACCTCCCCCTCCATCATAGCTTCCTCCCTCCCAATGGTATTCCATCGAGCAACCTGGGGAAGGGCGGACAAGGAGAGTGGTGTAGACATCCCCGGTCTACCAGAACCAGTTTTACCATGCCGCTGACCAAAACCCTGTAAAATGAAAAGAATGAGTAGTAGTAAGGGAACAAACAAAAGTTGGGAAACCTGCCGTAAAGGACCCTTTTTACCAATGGCCCAATGCCACCCTCCAAGGTTTTTGGAAACCAGTGACAAGACAGAAAAGAGCATTATCTGACATAGTCGCGCGGATGCCTGGCACTACGAACTACCTTCGCTCTCCCCCTCTTCTTCGGTTTTGGCCCCTTCAGGACAAGTCCTGCCGCTCGGGGTGATTTCCGAAAAATTCGACGTTCCCCTAATTCCCTCCTCTGATACGAACTCCCTCCCCCATCTTATCTACCATTTCCTGGACTTTCCCACCTTACTACAATCTTTTATAGTTTTCAGGAATTTCTTAATTTCCCGGGGACCTTCTATTAGTTTTCCCCGAAATTCTGCTGACGAGATGGTTTGTAGAACATATGAAACGAGAAAACCACGAAAATGTCAACAACCGGGAGGAATTTTTTCCCAACGCTGCAGGTTCTCCTCATAAGCAAATACAACCCCCACTCTCCCCAGCGACAAAATGCCACTCCCCCCCCACCGCTGGGGATTCTAGAACGTGCAACGTGGTCTGATCCCTCTATTGGCACTCCATCATTCGCTCCAGTGCAATCCACCTCCTCTCGCCCCAACAAAGGTCGCTTGTGGGCACATAATTGGTTGGGGATTTTGGTCTAGTCCTTACGACCCCCCTTTTTTGGGAAGAGGGGATTGGTACGACCAGAGGAAGGAGGGGGAGCTGAATTAGCAACGTAAAAGCTGATGAGGGACATACGTACCCCCTCTCCTTACCATTTTCCGATTTTCCTGCCTTTTTTCCGAAATGTCCCCGAAAATCATGGGTGGGCAGAGAGGGGTATGTAGTACGCATGAAGCAGGATGAAATAGGAAAAACCACGAAAAGTCAGCAACCTCTACCAGACGGTCGGAGGGAAATACGATCCCCCCTCCTAATAGCGAGCAAATAGGCCTCTCCTTTACAACGTCCCTGAAATAAGAAAAATCAACCATTAGAAAAAATTTCTCAGCCAAATACGACCTCCCCCTATCCCAGCGACCAAATAGACCCCCCTCCTGTTGGGGATTCCCCAGCAACGATGTGGCCTGCTGTTCTTTATTTAGTCACTGTGATTTCCACGCTACGTCTTGTTGATTAGGTTCCCTCTCAACAAACGGAATACGTTCCTAGCCCCCTTCTAGAGAATATCCTCGGGCTGAGGGGCTGCCGTCCTAGCTCATGTCAATGCTCATCTTCCTGGCGTCCATTAATTGTTGGACATCACGACAAGGCCTTGTCTCATGCCATCTTTGACTGCAATCTTGAGATTGCTTCCCAACAGGAATCCGTCAATGTCTGCCTTCTCATATAATACCCTCCCAACAGATTGAATCCAATCGCAGTTGAAAAAGCTGATATTGGGCAAACAGGATTTGTACGTTCTTTAGCGTTGGAGGATTCTGCGAATAAAGAACGTCTGTTAGGAGGGAGGAGGCCTTGTAACTCCTTTTACTACAGGGGAAAATTTTCAAGTCCTTTAAAGTCTTGTGAAGAGATGAGCTGGTACCCAATTCCATTCGGACACCATTTTTTCAGCTCCTTCCTGTGGAACTGACTGCTGCAGTCTTCCAAGATAAGCTTGTTGGTCAAGGAGATGAGGATTTTCGGCGTGTTCGGTTCCGGTAGTTCGGTGATGGAAGGGAGATACAGGCCATTGCACCCCTCATACTCTGATTCTGTCGACCTCTTGGGTAAGCCTGAAGAAAGCGCATCGCAGCCACACATGGTGAAGCTTCTCATCCCTTGCTGATTGATGACGCACGCTCTTCTAGATGAGAGACACGTCGACGGGCAAGCAGCAAAAGTCGCTAGAGGCCCTGCTCGTTAACTTGTCGCGGAGATACTTAGCCTTGGGTTTTGTCGTTAGGGAGAGACGCAGGCTTGGGCAAATTAATTTTTTGAGACTGGAAATCTGCCGCGAAATGATATTTGGCGGCGCTTAGGGAGTGCAGATTAGGATAAGGGGTTTGGAAAACTGACAAATAGTTTCTACAAAATTTGAACGGTACCACTTCGTGACTTCACTTGATTTCGTGAATATCTCCCTACTTAACGGCTTGAGACGACAACGGGAAGCTTCGAAAGTGCAGAATGCCCCCTCGTTGCTGAACAGCGTCCGATATTCTATCAGCGAATAAGAGGTATCAGTTCTCATAAACGTTTATAATGAAATGTCTGCCCTTTCCAAGGACTTCATGAGGCCCTAGTAACCTTGCTGAGGGGGTGGGGGACATTTGAAGGACACTTGTGCAAAACTTGGATTAACGTCATTTGATTAGAAATACCGTACTTGTGACAAGTTCACACCACCTCCCCCCCCCCCCCCTCTACCCAGAGCCACAGCGGTCTAGCGCTGTCTTTCTTCCTTATGTCACCCACTTTGGTTGACTACCTTCGCGCTTAGTTTTTATGGTCTCCTTTTCAAGATCGAGTGAGTAAACACTCGATATCCTTCCTATTGAGGGCACTCTTTTTCCGCAAAGGATCAAAAAATCCCAACCGGCCACTTTGGAGTGATGAAAGTATGAAGGACAAAGCATATGCCTCCGGATGCGCCATAGTTTTCCCTGTCCATTCGGCAGCATAATGACTTTTGAATGGTATTTGTCCTAGACAACGAATTGCGGACCCAAGCTCAAGTCATTTTATCCTACCATATAAGACAGTCTTGAATAAACCGACCCGGTGAAAGCTGGTCCGAGATCCGAGCCCTCGATCATGCGCGTTAAAATCAGCATCACTTGTCATTACACGACCTTCACCTCAAAAAGAATATTCGGGGCAGTTCGACTCGGTGTGGGCACCAAATGGTTCCCAGTGAAGCCTTCACAGGTCATTTGCGAAGACCTGTAAATTCCTGTAACCAAAGTAACTCACTTGTACAGTTTCTTAGTTTCGTTAGAGTTTGCAGGTTTCATCGCAATGAAACTTGTTAGTTACCGTGAACTATCAGAAGCTAGCAAAAGTGCAAAAAGCCCCTCCTAAGCCAAACAGCGTCGAATATTCCATGAGAATGTGGCTTTACTAAATAGCTTTATATTCTTTCTTTTATCAACGGCAATTTCTTTGGAATCCATTACAGGCAGTTCCTTTCAGCGCAGTAACTAGAAAACCAGAAATCTACGTCTCACTGCTAAGAATATACCTTGTAGAAGCAAACTCATGTAGATTTCTGGTTTTCTCAGTTTTATGTTTTACCCGAACTCCTTGGCACTATTGATTCTGAGAGTTCACCTAAGAGTGCAGCGTTGGCATGGGTGAAACAGAGTCAGCACCAGGGCACGCCATCCTTGTGATAATCACAACAGGGGGGGGGGTCGTAATTGACCGCGAGGGAGGGAGGTCGTATTTGGTCTGAGAAAAAATTTTTTGATAGTTGATTTCTCTTGTTTCACGGACGCTATAAAGGGGAGGAGGTCGTGTTTGCTCGTTGTTGGGAGGGAGGAGGTGATATTTCCCTTCTGACCCACTGAAAGAGGTTGCTGACTTCCCCCCCCCCCTAGTTGGCGGCACTGCCAAAGATTTATACAACTACTATTTCCGATAGTTGGAAAATAGTAGTTATTCCTGACGACCTCCTCCCCACCCCCCCCCGCTCGACAGCAAAATTTTGGGGAAAAACTAGAAATTTTTCGGGAAATGCCGGAAAAACTGGAAAAAGTGGTAGGAAGTTGGGAAAATCTAGGAAAGTGGTAGGTAGGATGGGGAGGGGGGGAGGGTCACTTAGAGGATGGAATTAGGGGGGGTCACATTTCGCAGGAATTTACCACATGCGATGGCATGCCTTGGTCAGCATCCCTCCAAATTTCCTTCATCAGTTATGACCTCTTTTCCCATCCTATTTGGTGGCCAAGCGGGGGAGGGGAAGAGAGGAGGGAGTATAGAGCGTGAAAATGTGAAATGAGAAAATCAGCATGCCCAAAAAAGTTTTCTTAAGGGGCGGAAAATTACCCTAATTTAGCTGCGTATAGCTTAGAACAGTTACGGAATGAGGCCAACCCCGTTGTTTCACCCGGGGCAACTTTTTGCCCAAATTAGATCACGTCAATTATGCTTTAAAGTCAACACTCTTCAAGTTTATGCGAAGTTTCTCTGTAGACTCACTCAATCCTTGGAATTTGTCCTCGCTACCTGCTCGTCACGCCCCGAACCAGCCACTCCTCAGCGAGGGCGTGGCCCGACCTGCTGGCTGGATGGTATCTATAAAAGGGGTGGGTGCTGAGGAAAATTTGGCGTTCTGCTATGTTTGAGGAGAAGCTCGTCGTTGGCGTGGCATCGGCCTGCTCCACTCTTGCCGTCGTCGTTGTCCTGGTTGTCGTGCCATCGCTTTACAATACTATCAATGAAATTCACGACCAAGTACTTGATGGAGTGTCAGTATTCCGTGTGGAGACCGATTCTGCCTGGACTGAAATGATGGATATTCAAATTGCCGTCTCTCCACCTTCGAAGCCTCGCACGAATCCCTTCAACTCGATATTCCGTCAGAAAAGGCAAGACTTTTCTGGACTTCCAGCTTGGTGCCAGTGTGTACCACCAAAACCAGTCTGTCCACCTGGGCCTCCTGGACCTCCTGGCCAGCCTGGACAACCTGGTATGTACAGTTTTCTCAGCTTTTATCGCCTTCCATTTCGCTTGAATGAAAGTTTTAACTGTGTTTTCAAGGCCCTTCCATCATGAGAAATTATTTCCAGGAAATCCCGGACCTCGAGGACCTCCAGGTGAGGACAATACTTCCACCTATGCGCCACTCACTTGTCCACCGATGGATACCAAATGCATACAGTGTCCAGCAGGACCCGCTGGACCTCCAGGACCTGAAGGACCAGCCGGAAAAGCCGGACCAGACGGAGAGCGTGGAGGACCAGGACCGCGCGGAAAAGATGGGCAGCCAGGCCCAGCCGGACCACCTGGAGACGCTGGAAGCCCCGGAAAACCAGGACCAGATGGACAGCCTGGTCCTCCTGGAAAAGATGGTACCAAAGGCCGTGGACAGCCTGGACCACCGGGACCAGGTGGAAACGCTGGACCTCCCGGAAAAGCTGGACCATCCGGTCAGCCAGGAAAGGATGGAGGGCCGGGACCCAAGGGACCTCCGGGGCAGCCAGGAGCCCCAGGAGAAGCAGGAAAGGACGGGCAGCCAGGTGCACCCGGAGGACCTGGCCTTCCTGGAAACGATGCCGCCTACTGTCCATGCCCTCCTCGTTCGGCTGTGTTCGTTTCTCGATTCACTCAGTAAGAAGGCAATCAATTTTGCGAGCGACAGAGTTTCTTATGGTAAATGCAATACTTGATTTTTTTACAGAATAAATAGATTTTTGGCAATTTTGTGTTTTCACTCAGGAAGCTTGTTACTCTCATTTTTCACTCGATTGCTTTAACTCTGGCACTTTTTGACTCGGGACGTCACAACGAAGACTTCCATGACGCGGCGTGGGTACGTATTTTCAGGCTATTTATTGAATTTTCTTCCCTTCCGGATTGTTCTCGGCGCAAATTCTGAATGCCTAATCGGACACAAATGGGCCGAGAACCGCTCTAAGTCCGTCTTCCTAGGTGACGTGGCTTCGGAGCTTCCAAGAAATCCACGGGATAGAGAGAACTGGCTGATTCGTCCCCTGCGTCATCTTCTTCCCGGGGAGTACCGCGTGGTCCCTCAGTGGGACTACTTCTTTCAACGGGCCCATCTTTTCCTGGCATCTGCGTTGCCTACTGGCCGCCTACTAATGCGCCGTCGTGCGATCGAGACCGGCTTGCTAAGTCGTCGCTGGTTCCAGAGTTTTTCGGGACTCTGGACTTGCCTGACCGAAAATGGGTCCGCACTAGTTCATCTTCCAGCCTTAAAAGCCTGTTAATGGCAGCTCCAAGTTTTCGCCAGTCAACTGCTAGTAATCCTCTCCGTTTGTGGCCCATTCCGAGTGTTTCCGCTATGGGCCCGGAATAGCCTCACCACTTTCACAGCTGGTTGTCTGGTCTCTCACTTATTCTGATTACTCAGATATTCCTGTCATCTTCCAGGAATTAGCTATGCCTTCCAAGGGTGCGCTAAACAGAGTTACAATATCTGACTGGATCTTTAGACTGGCGCCAGAGAGTGTTAGATATATTTTGTCGGCTTAATATTGTAAATATGGACTCCGCCAGAAGTCAGGACAGTTTGAAGTGAAAATCTGTTCCATCAACAAAGCAACTGGATGAACCGTCTTCTTCATCGTGTCTATTCCTATTATTTTACTCAACGGCAGGGGAATCCTTAGCGATATTTCAATATCATTTACCAAGGAGAGTCAGGGATGCTTATATTTTTAAAAGCATAAAAATCTAAGATACGGTTTTTCAACTTCTGTTACTTTACCCAAGCTTACTAGTTCCACCATTTCCTAACAGTAAGAGTTCTGCTCAAAATGTAGCATCGCGCTCGGTGAAATGTGATTAAGAACAACTCGCCTCTCGGGGGAGTTGAGAGGTCAGGGACCGAGGCGAGGAGAGACGATGAACCGTTTCACCGATGTGCAATTTTTCTAAGGAAAGGCGGTGAGTCTTTATGAAATTTTCGGGATAAGTTGCATGGGACAGGCAGACAGCGTTTACTTGTCCGAACTCTCGACGAAGCTGCGGGAGAAGCCAATGGCAAAGCGTACGATGTGCGCAGTATTCCGGCACTAGGATCGCACGCTCCACTGAACGTAAGACAGCGCGATATCTCCGTCTCTGCTCTGTGCCTCCTCTCCGTCAACTAGTTAGAAAGCGTGTTCTACCTCCAAACGCAGAAGTTGATACACAGCTGTAGAAGCCGTAGGAGCTAACGTACCCAAGTAATATGGGGAGAATCCCATCAGGAGGGATTTCGTACTTGGCGTACATGGCCTGATGGGAGGGAGGAGGTTTTATTACTCTGGCCGACGAAGTTTTCTGACATTTATTGGTTATATCCGGTATGCAACTTGTGCTATAAAGTCTCCTAATTTCCTTGGCAGCGCAGAGGTTTTTGTTAAGAGAGAAAAATTGAAAAAGTTGTTGGAAATTTGCTAAGATTGGAAGGACTCGGGTGGATGGTGAGTGGTGATGGGTAGAGGGGGTCATACCCAAACGGGTTTCGGGAGGTCGTACGTGACAGTCGCTGCTTAGTCACTCATCCAGGGGGGTGTGCCGAACCGTACCTTGTGGGGACACTCCTTTCGTCGCGCCAGACAATATTCATCATAGTCTATACATATAGAAGGATAAAAGGAATAAATGGAAAAGTCTTCGCAATTGAACGATCGTGTTTTTTAGGGATGGCGGAAAGCCATGTCTACTCCCATTCAGAAATCGTAGTGGCTATATTGGATGCGAACTGGCCTGTCGTCACTAAGCGGCGGCCCAGCGCCGAGTACAAGCAGGTAATTATCCTCCGAATCTGGTATCCAAGGAATGTTACGGTCACACGAGAGGTAAATGCTCTGCTGAGCTTCGATGGAATCTGACCCGGTCGCACATCAAAGCCGGCGCCGCACGCTGAACGCGGGTCGTAACATGCCTTACCACTAAACTGAATCGCCTCTTCTGTCATATGGCGAGAGCGAGATGAAGGCTTCGGAACACCCCAAGGTTCTAGAATAAGCGACCGATGCTTCTGCTATTCTGTTTTAACAGGAGTCAGGCTGCTGGCGGCAGTTAAAACGCGGGAGTTGGACTTGCCAGAGGGGGTGGGTGGGCCGGCAATCGGAGGGGGAAGGTATAGGGAGGACGATCCAAAAGCATCGCTGTGATGTCTCTCTGAACGCGGTTTGTTGTGCCATGGGAGATCATAAGGACCAAACTCGGCAAGTATTGCGCGTGGCTCCAACCAAGCTGTGACACAGCGGGGGGGGGGGGGAGGGTGAGGGGAGGGGGTGCAAGCAGACGGTCACAGTACGTACTGCCTCTCCACCATCAGCGTTATGAGAACAGCGGTTCTGAAGGACGATTGACTGACTGTTGTTATCATAGCAGCAGATCGGCTGGATCTCGTACCCGAGCAGCGGAACGGAATCAAAAAACGGTCGAGAAGTTCTGGGACACCCTAATATTCAGCGTCCCACAAGCACTCACGGCTTACGTGATTCAGTGCTTTGCTGATGTAATAGAAGCTTTCGTCGCCTTCCCATTGAAGTTTTCGGAAGGCTTTCAAGTGCTCGATTTGTCCCTGAAAGGCTACTCAAAGTCACTTCAGAGACCGTGACCAAAACTCAAGTGGCCCATTTGTACGACGATCAAGGTGACGAATAAAACGGTGGCATGAATGGGCAATCGGCTAGTCAACACCAGTCAACCCGCAAGATTTACCCTGCGATCAATTAGTGGCGCGCGTTTGTCATAAACCGGGTCCAAGTGTTATTAGGGTGTGGGTGCGACGACGGTCCCTAAATGGGAGATGATGGGCTCATATACCTCATACCGGTTTTCGTTCACTTCTAAGGTGTCGAAATGACAGTGTTTTTCACATGTTGAAACATTCTCAGGAAGTGGCAGGAGTTCGTTAATGGAAAGTGCTGACTATTGAGTGAAAATCATTTGGGACGGGTAGAGTGTCTGAAAAGGATAGACTTCGAAGAGAGTGCCCTAAGAGGATCGCTCGCCGCCAACGTGTGGCGCCCCCCCTCATTCCAGAGAAACCTTTCAGGAACCCGAACTCAGTAAGTCAATTTTCGAGCGAACGACGACTTCACCAACTCAATGGGGTCACTATGAAGGTTTGAAAGAGAATATGTTGGCCGGAGAAAGCTTGTCTTGCTGCTCCTTGAAATTAGTGGGAAATTTTAGGAGTTGAAGAAACATGTTGGTGGAAAGCGGTGGGCGGTAGTTGGGTTGCTAAGGGGGATCGCACCGCAAGAGGAAGTTAGGAGGTGTTGACAGGACCATTGAAGAACCTATTCTGGAGAAAAGTCGAGACGCACCACAAATGTTGCCGACGACGACCTGGTATCTCTGCGGAAGTATTCTAAGTTTCTGCAAACGAGCGTGTCATTGAATTGTGAGAGCTTTCGGAAGTCAAGATCCCCCTCCCAAGTCAAAATACTCGTCGAAAATTCCAGACAGGGTACAGCACTCGTAGATGTGAAATGGTGCGACACCGCGCCTACGGACCAGCCCCCTCTCGACTGGACGTCCGTAAGACCTCTCCTTCTTCTTCCTCAAGCATTTACCTACAACAATTCCACATTTTCCAGCTTTTCCACTCGAATATTTTCCGTCGAGAGGAGGGGAAAGGGGTGACAGGAAAAATATGAAACAGGAAAAATCATGAAAAATCAGCAACGGGGAAAATTTTTTTCCAACGCGCTAAATTTCTCTCGGGCCACTAACGACGCCCCCCTCTCCCAAACAAACGAACTGACCACGACTGCCAGCCCCCTCCCCCCTCAGCGGAAAAGTACGACCCCTATGTGCTTCACACAATGACGGTGTACCTTAATTCCATAATATGGGACAACGTGGAGCCACTTCTTTGCGACTGACGAGACCAACGCCTACTTTTTCTCTGAGAAGCATGTCGCTTGTCGTGCCACTGTCTCCTTTGCTATCGGCGCCGGGAAACCGGAAATTTCTCGAAGATAGGCAGTTTTTTTGGCTAGCCATTGGAAAGGAATGGGGATCTCTCGATAATACTGCTGTGCCTCTCGAGGTGTTCAGGAGGAATATTTATTTAGTGGCCTAACGTTTCGACATAGTCATCTTCTTCAGAGGTGACAACTCCATCGCAAATCCGCAGTTACATGCGGATGTTAGTCAGTAGCAAATGCTCAGGAATGAGGATCGTTTTTTCAATACCCTGGAAGGAGAAGGTCACCTGTAGACAGGGTACAGCATCGTGAAATGATGGTGTCAGTAGACCCCCCCACCTAAGAGAAGGTCTCGGTGCGATCCCTCCCCCCTCCCTCCCCCAACACTTACCTACCACTTCCACTTTCCTACACGGTCCCGGCTTCCTACCAGTTTTGTCAAAACTTCCCACATTTTCCAGCTTTTCACCCAAAAAATTTCCGTCGAGCGGGGTGGAGGGGGACATATAGCCAATGTGAAAAAGAAAGAGCCGCGAAAGTCAGCAACCGGGAAAGCGCGGCAAAATTCTCTCAAAGGCACCTACGACCCTCCTCTCTCAACAACGACCAAATACGACCTCCCCCAATCCCCAGCGGCCAAGTTCGACCCCATGTGTTTCAGGAACGATGCTGTACCCTGCCCGTAATAAATCCGAGCAGATCTGAGTGTCAGCAA